TTTTGCAAGCACTCTAGCGGCAAGGGAAAGCATTTTGGAAAAAAATGTCAAGAGACAAAAATGTTCAGGACACATTTCTCTATCTGCTCTGATAATTTGAGAAAAATCTGTGACAGTGCATTGAGCACGCTATGCTGGAAAAATGCGTTTCTATCGTGCACTGCCTCATAAGTAGACATTTCAACATCAAAAAGGGATCAAAACATATGGTTAATTTTGTCCGCTTGACCTAGTTATCAGATTATAAGATTGAAAAAATTGAAAAACCATACTTTTTAAGAGAATTTCTCCCGAATTTGGAGCTCTCTGGCTACTCTATCGAAAGTTATTTCAAAAATAGTCATGTGCACGGTTTTTTGGGTTGGATAATGCAAAATAAAAGACTAGAAAGGGGATATATCATAGCTATGAATAGATAATCATGGTGCTGACAGAATCAGAATAAAGTTTTAACCATGAAAACTTTTTACAAAAAATGCTTAGCTCAGCGTATACACGTTGCTGTTAAATGAAAGCTCGTTTAAATGACGTTCAACTTCAGAAGTTACAAAACTTGGTATAAAAGTTTCCATCACAGTGAGTAAGGCAAAGTTTTCGCTTACAGATGCCAACTTTATGGCAATAGAAATTCAAACTAATCGTATTTTTAGACGATTCGTGCCTATGAATAGCTGAAAAAATGGCAATCAGATATTTGATAAATGTTATTTTTTAAAACTTACATCTGCAATGAGATTATATGCTTGTTTTCTTGCCAGAAATATAGCCAATAGAGCAAGAATCGTATATGCTTGATGATGTGATCGTTCGCGTTGCTCTTCGTACTGTGGTTGCCAATCTAAGACAGCTTCATTCAGAGCTGATGTTTCAGCTAATAATAATAATAATATTGTTTCTTCATTCGAATCACGTGGAATATACATTGAATGTCTACATAAAAATAAAAGAGATATATACAATTGATAGTCAGATTCTCTATAGACACACTTATGATCTCCCATTTGTTCTTGTTTTATTGGCGAATAATTTGCTTTACAGACACATTTAATTAATAACTGAGCAAATTGTTTAATCAATGTCTAAAGTAAATAGAAAATGTTTTACTTCCAGTGATGCTAAAAAACTACTGAAGAAGTCTAGCAAGTGAGGAAAAGCCCTTTTTTAGCATAGAATCTCAGCACTTTTTCGGCACCTCTTGGCACATTTTAGCATCCTAATCGGCACTAGGTACTGCTTCCTACCTAGAGAAAACATTTAGAATTAGAGCTATCTTGATACTTTACGACGGAGAATACTATGTTATCGAAAATCCTCTAGTTGTTAACTGTTGTTACAACTTTCTTGAAGGCACAACTCACAAGTCTCTCAGTTATTTTATTATACAAACGAATGGAAACGCACTCACACTTAGAAAATAGAAAGCCAAAAGAACGTGACTATATATAGGCGGGAGAAAAAGACATCCGGGAAGCGAAAGAATCGAACACAAATGGACACATATAAAAAACCAAGAAAAGGGACGGATCAAACATAACAAACGATAGAGGTAGTATATTACCTAACACTAGCCCAAAAATAACAAAAATTTTACTGCATGTACTCAAAAAAGAGACAATTGTCCTGTCTGAAGTCAGGAAAGAGTTTATAATCGTACACTTACTTGTCTCATAGTTTCTAACGATTTAATATGTACATTTTGAATATAAGAACGAAATATTTCGATAGCTGTTGATAAATTTCTGAAATGCGAAAAATGAATGATAACTGTAAAACGTTCAAGTTGTATTTTGCTTCTCCCTTAAATTAGCATAATGTTTAAAGTATATACCCATTTTTTGCTTGCAACAATGGCACTCTTTGAAATGCTAATTCAATTAAAGGATTTTCAATATCCAAATTCTCTGACGAATAATGATGAGATTTTTCAACATCTGTGTAATATTTCTGCGATAATTTAACACTGTTCTCAAAATATTGAATTATCTCATTCAATGTGGATTTGTCTAATGTTGGTGCAGTTTTCTCGACTAGTAGACCTACACAAAGAAATATAAATGAAGAATAATTAGAAAGGAAAATGGCACTAACCTTTAAGTGAAAATAACTCAGCTAATAGAAGTGATGATCTATTTGGATTGTCTTTGGTATCTTTTGGCACATTGATAAGGGCTTTAGCAATGGAGGAATTACAATCATCGTAGCGAGCTTGAGAATAAAATAATTTTGATAAGAGACATTGAACATCGAATGGGTTCTAAAGTGAGTTAAAATAAGGTAGCAATAGTATATTTTATGAAAACTTCCTAGGACTTGTCCAAATTCCGAAGAAAAAGGAAATTTGAAGTATAAAGTTTATATACGAGGATTTTTGTGGTTTTCCAGAGAGTTTTTTGTCAGTAGCTGTAAACTTTCGGGGTGAAATTGTGATTGACAAAATTTCAATATAAATTTGGTATTTACAGCTACTGAAATGTGTGTTTACGGCTACTGAATGGACTAGTAACAGACAGTGCATCTGATGTTTTTAGCTTTTTAGACACAAGTTTTAATTATTACGATATATTATTAAATGTTAGTAAGCAGTTCAGTAGGAAGTAGGGGATGCTACTTTACTTTTACTCACTATTACATTATCCGGTAAAAGTAATAAACATTTGTTACTTATTATCGGTAAAAAGGTAATAAATCTTGTTGTTTTATTACTTCTTTATGTAATAATTTTTCATCATTTTACCTATCACTTTTTATTACTTTTCGTCTTATTAGTCATAAGTAAAATAATAAAAGATTGTTACTTGAAAAAAGTAATAAGTAATAAAGTAATAACATTTATTACTTGTTTCCAGGTAATAGCTAATACATTGTATTCCTTATCACTTGGTAAAGAACAGTAAAGTGACATTCCTAGCAAAAACTTCCTACTAGGAAGTTTCCACATCTTTGCTTCGTAGAAGTAACACTGACATGCTTTTTATTAATAGTTAATAGTATGTTGTTTGTCTATTTCGTCAGTATCCATATTTTAAGATGAAACGGATACTTTGGAAACTGAGCTCACTTTTTTATCACTGTTTGCTTCATTTAATGTTCGTTCAACTGTTCGCAACTGTTCTCTAGCTTGTTGAATATTTTTATCATCGATCAAGGAGTGTTGTTGTAAATATAGTTCTAACTGAGCTTCACCGTCCAGAAACTTTGTGTACTCTGGAAATATATACAAAATCTCAAAAGTTCGACATACAGAGAAGTTTGATAGTGCTAGAGTCGTTCTAATTGTTACCGTTTATTTTTATTTGCTTGATTTTATCTTGTATTTTCGTCCAATTTAATTCGATTCGATATTTTTCAATTTCAGAATCAATACGATGACGATTAATCGAAGATGTCATTTTCACTAGAATACGGAATGGATCCTGCTGTATTGATTAGACTAAGACTAAGACTAGTTTATTTACGTTATTGCTTAAGGGGTGAGCACCTAGAAAAAAATTCCATCTTTACTAGTCTGAATTTCCATTTAAAATTTCAGTCTTCGAATATTATTAAGCAGATATACACTGTAGTGGAATCCCAAGGAGTGGACACGTGCCCTGTGTGACTATCCCTTGGGAATAGACTGGATAAAAAATAGAAAGAGAACGCATACGATGATAAATTTTAAAAAACTGTACAAGTCTAAAATACTTCCGATGAAGAGAGAGATTTGGAAGGCATAGGATTCAGCCGGTTTTAAAAATACCACTTAGTTGCCATGAAATCAATAGATAATGATAGAGCTTTAGAAGGCGCACATTTCTATATAATTTTGAAGCCTCACATCTCTATGGTTCCTGAGAAAATAAAAAGCTACTTTGTCAAAGGTGTATCTTAATTTTTATATGAAAAAAATTGTAGTTACTCAGGGGAAAATTAATTTTCTTCTTTTAAATATTAGAGTTTGTAGCGCAGAACTTAAGGATGTTTTTTCTGCAAGTGCGCTCTTGCGGCAATCGTTGTTAAGCATTTTTACTGATCATGTTTTTGAAATTACCGCTCGACCATTTCAAACGGAGGATTATTGATTAGACTGTACTTCTGTAGTTCAGTCGTTAGAGCGTCTGGCATTTAATAAAAGGGTTATGGGTTCGAGTCCCAGTTGAGCTTCCATATTTCTATACTCTCTTTTCGCGATTGCTCTCTTTTAAGCGTGGTGGCACTTTATTTACAATCCTTTGGTTTTTTTGTGCTTTCCTTTGTTACGAGATGTTTTCTTGGGCACAAAATAAACTTTCAAGTTCAAATTCTTTCATTCTAAATAAAGAGTTAGAGGAACGATAGTCAAAATTGCAAGAAATAACACGAGAAGCAAGTTTATTTTTATTTTTTTTAAATCACTCCAGTCCAATGGCACTGAAATCAGGTTACGCATTGTATCTATGTCCAAAGTTAACGAGAGAATGAGCATTATATAGCTTGTCCAAGATTATTACGCAACCGCCGTTGCCGGGATTCGAGCTCCGTATGTTTTAAGTACGTTGTTTGCCCACTAGCCGACTGAGTCATGCTGCAAGTTTATTTACAGAATCCAGAACAGAAAGAAAAAGAAATGTCATACCAGTCACAATAATAAAGTTTTGGAAGAATAGAGAAAAGAAAGATTCGATGCAGAACTTCTGGCGGGGCTAATCCAAAGACACGATTCAGTACTCCAAGCTTGCGCCGACAAGCAAGTGCAATGTCCTTAACATGTTCATTCCAACGTAGATCATGAGAAACAAGGGCACAAAGACAGCGATCCTGTATTTCAGGAGCAACAGTTAGCAATAATAGTTATCCAATGTAAATTTCAGATTTTTTACATTGATTAATACGTTTTGCTCTTGGTATAACTTAGCCGCTTATTTTCTTTTCTTGACTTTCCTTTGACCTTAGCCTAGAGTTCTACAAATGAGTTTTCTATCCGTAAAACACGAAAACAATGCTCGTGGGTATTTTATGGATCATCTTCAAAAAATGCAAGAATTCTTACAGTACATATGAGAGAAGGTGAGGAAAAATAATTAGAGTGGCTAAGACGAAAACTGAATTAAGATACTTTCTTTTGTAGCCTTACAGGTGGCGTTAGTGAACGGTGCGACTGATATCTTTTGAAAAGACTAGAAACCTACAAGAAAATATAACTTATAATTGAATGAAAGTATCATATGGGTAATTGAACATAGGAAATTTATTGGAAAAGGTCTCAGGTACCTCAAAAAAGCCTACGATGTGTCCAGAAAACTTTTGACGCTGTAAAAAAACAAATGCCTCGGAACACTTTTTTCGGCGATGAATAAAGAATGGGACACTTTTTTGAACCGCTGTCAACTCGAAAATTCAAAAACAGTGTCGTTTAGTGGGTTACTTTTCAAAGTATCCCACTCATCGCGCAAAAAAGTGTTCCGGGGCACTTGGCTTTTTTACAGTGTGAACATAGAAAGAGGATGAAATAGTTATTTGCCATACCCAGGTCGGTCAGAACGAATACCGTTTACGCGCCGTTTCACGGTAGTTAACGATGAAAAAAGGTGTATTTACGGCCGCAAACGGTCAGAATACTAGCAGTAAACGGAACGTATTTCACCGTATGATAGGGAACAGTTTTA